CGGGGTGGGTTAAAAGTCGGCAGAAGCAGTGGCAGAGGTACGGCAGAGGCAGAGGCCGAGTGAAGCAGAAGCAGAAGCAGAGTGTGAATGAATGAATGTGAAAAAACAACAAAAGCTGCGGGATACGGAAATTAATTCATTCTGGCTATAATAATGATCCAATCGGATTTAGTGATCTGATAAATATGACCATTCCTACGAAATGGCGTTTTTAGTTTTCTTTTATCTTCAAAAATGTAGGTTTGGGAGGTTTTCGCCCTTTTGCGGGGGCGGGGCTAAATTTTTAAATACACTGGTTTCAGTGTGAGCATACAGCAGTCTGGAGCCAAAGTCATTTGGTGGCTCTAGCTCTTATAGTTTCCGAGAACTAGCAGACAAACAAGACGGACGGACGGACGGACAGACGGACAGACAGACATGGCTCTATCGACTCGGCTATTGATGCTGATAAAGAATATACACACTTTATGGGGTCGGAAACGCTACCTTCTGTTCGTTACATACAACCGTTATTCACACAAATACAATACACCCTATTTACTCTTCGAGTACCGGGTATAACTAAAAACGCCATTCGGTAGGGACGGAATTTATCTATCATTCCGTAGGGAATGACCATATCTATCAGATCACCGAATTGGGTTCCGATTGGACCATTATTATAGCCACAATAAAGAAATAAAATTTTCAATGGCTAAACACACCATGTCCGGCAGCTTTTGGTGTTATTTTTTACATTCTCTAATTTACACTCTGCTTCCTGCAGTGTGCGGCGGCTGCCTCTGCTCGTCCAGCCTCTGCCATGACTCTGCAGTGTTTGGCTCTAGGGAAGGGGGGCGTGCTAAAGTAGCGTGTTGGCGTGAGAAGTGTTGTAGATGTATATGACAGATGAAGAACAAATTTAAAATTTGACATATAACCGCTTGAGTACAGATGTAGTACTGAGTGCCTGGTATAAAAGTTGTGACGCGTAAGACGCGTCTCACACGTCCCTTCTCGTTTTGATTGAAAGCAATGAAAAGTAAGAATTGGGACCACTGGACGAATAATTGAATGAAAGAAAGGTATTTTCCTACAATATTATCCACAACCTACATAAAATATGCAAAGGAAGATTATCACAGTCTCTGGTCGGTTGTGAAGTCTTAACTAAATGAAAATGGCAATACTTTCTGCCTTTGGCTGCACTCAGAACGTCATAGTATTGGCCAAAATCTTTTGACTTTTTCTGTCTCCCGCAGCACTTTTATAATTCCCAGAATAAAATGTCAATAAGGCCATCGATTTTGCACCTGATTTTGCAAAAAAAAAACTCGAAAATTGTAATTAAATCTTGTCTAACGAATATAGGGTTCGTAACTCCCTCCCTCTCTTTATCACCCACTCATTTAGACACTTAAAGAGTGTTTTATGAAGATGATGATAATGATTGGGTTGTGAGGGTACTCGCAACAATTAACAGGTGATGGATCCCACCAACGACACTTGACGACACTCGGCACCCTACTAGCCAACCATTGGGGTGTGTTAAATGTTGTTGCCTAGTGTAATGCTTAACCATTGCTGTGTGTTCGTTGACTTTCGGAGTGGGGAGTGTCTCTGCTTATTTGGATGGCCTTATCGCTCTTAACGGGAAAATATTTCCCCTGATAAGCGCACATGGCGCACTTTCTGCCTGGCTGAAGACAACATGAATCAGTCGCTGTGCCGTCAGCGTATCGCCGTATCAGTCTTAACCTTCCCCTTTTTGCTATGTTTTGGTGGACAGCCTTTGGGCATTTCCAAAAGTTCTGGTTTTTTTAAAACCGGTACACGAAGAGTAACTAGGGTATTTTATATTTGTGGTCGGAGCAATGTGCGGAACGCCCAGAAGGAAACGTTTCCGACCCCAAAAAGTATAACTATTCTTGATCAGCATCAATAGTCGAGCTTATGTAGATATATATGACATATATAGAAGAAATGTTAAATATAAAATTACACGAGAAGGGACGTGTGAGACGTTTCTTACGCGTCACAACTTCTGTACACGGCAATCAGTACTACATCTGTACCTTAGCGGTTATTTGTCAAATTTTACATTTTTCCTTTATCTGTCATCTGCATCAACAAGGTTTTCGCCCTTTGGCGGGGGTAGGGCTCATTTTTGAAATACACTGGTTTCAGTGTGAACATACAGCAGTTTGGACCTAAATTTGGTGGCTCTAGTTCTTATAGTCTCTGAGAACTATCCGACAAACAAGACGGACAGACAGACGGACAGACAGACATTGCTCTATTGACTCGGCTATTGATGCTGATCAAGAATATGTATACTTTATGGGGTCGGAAACGCTTCCTTCTGTGCGTTACATACAACCGTTATTCCACACAAATACAGTATACCCTATTTACTCTTCGAGTACCGGAAATAAAAATTTAAAAAAACCACGAAGTTCCAGATGTCTTACTTAGTATAGGGTTCCACACGTACCTTCTCGTTTTCCACTAGATAACCATATTTTTTTTTGTTATATTTCATATTTACTTAACATGATAATGTTACATGTAAATAAGCTATGCAAATAAATCTAAACTTAGGAATATGGAATGCCAATGGGCTTTCCAACTATGTAAATGAAATAGCTTTATTTTTAAAAACGAATGCCATTGACGTCATGCTTATTTCAGAAACACACTTCACTAGCAAATCTTTTTTTAAAGTTACTGGATACGACACAGTAAGAGCTGACCATCCATCAGATAGAGCTCATGAAGGTGCTGCAATTCTTGTCAAGCAGGGCCTTAAATTTCAAATGCCTATTAAAAGCATTAAATATGAAGAAGTTGTGACAGAAATCAAATGCTTGAACAATAAAAAAGCACCAGGCCCTGATAAAATAGACGGTATCACCCTAAAAAGTTTACCACCAAAATGCATTCGGTTTCTCACTCTTATATATAACGCGATTCTCAGACTAGACCACTTTCCAAGTCAATGGAAATGTGCAGAGATCGTTATGATCCTAAAACCAAACAAAATAGAAACGGAATTGACATCATACCGTCCCATTAGTCTGTTGACAATTTTCTCGAAAGTGTTTGAAAAAATACTATTGAAGAGAATGTTACCAATTTTGGACGAACTTTCCATCATTCCTGAATACCAATTCGGATTCAGGAGGGGTCATGGGACCCCTGAGCAATGTCACAGGGTTATTAATGATATAGTTTCGGCATTTGAAAACAAAAAATACTGCACTGCTGCATTTCTTGATATTCAACAAGCGTTCGATCGAGTCTGGCACAAAGGTTTGTTGTACAAGATAAAGAAATGGCTACCTGCTCCGTACTAT